GAGAGGGGCTTCTTCCTCTTGTTTGTTTGAGCTGGATTGCCTTCCCTTTTTTTTTTACGTTCCTTTGGCTTCGATTCCAGGGAGAAACTATGTGATTTCGCTAGGAAATCCCCACAGACTGCGCCAAATTGTTTGACTGAAAATTATCGAATACTTTCCAAGCAAATCAATCGAAATAATTCAAAGGGTAAATCATAGTTAATCATAATTAATCATTGAATTAGAAGACCAACTTGAGACATTGAAATAATCAATTATGGAACAATATAAACGGGGTTTTNGTCCCGGTTTGACTGAGGTCGAACCTGATATATTTTGATGGCGAAGGCACTCAGCCTGAGTCCCGATTTGACTGAGGTCGAACCTGATATATTTTGATGGCGAAGGCACTCAGCCTGAGTCCCGGTTCGACTGAGGTCGATCCTGATATATTCTGATGGCGAAGGCGCTTAGCCTGAGTTCCGCTCCTGGCTTGAGACAGCCCTGTGCCGGTTTTCGGCCTGACACCGTATTAGGGGTGAAGGAAATGCCTCATACTTTTGTTCTGAGGGAGAGGGGCTTCTTCCTCTTGTTTGGTTGTTTTCGGATCTCAGTTTCCTTTGATGCATTCGAGTATTACGTGCTTGATGTGCTTCCTCTAGTCTGTCTGAGTTGGAGTGCTTTCTTTTTTTTTTGACGCTCCTTTGGCTTCGATTCTAGGGAGAAACTATGTGATTTCGCTAGGAAATCCCCACAGACGGCGCCAAATTGTTTGACTGGAAATTTATCGAATACTTTCCAAGCAAATCAATCAAAATAATTCAAAGGGTAAATCATAGCTAATCATAATTAATCACTAAATTAGAAGACCAACTTGAGACATTGAAATAGTCAATTATGGAACAATATAAACAGGGTTTTATTCATCAAGGTGACTTGACCTGCCTCTCCTTGAAGAGGTTCAGGATCTTACATTGGTCTTGTTTCTTGCTCCACTTATGGAGTATATCTTTCTATTTTTGGAGTATTCAGAGTTGTGTAGAAGAAGAAGCCCCCCTTGGGAGGTTCTCTCCCTTGGTATTTATAGCCTCAGGCTTTCATCTGGTCACGATGGGCCCCTCCTTTTGTTGTGGAGACGTCCCCTCGTTTGTTTTAAGGACAGCTGTCATAAGTCAAGAGTCAGCGGCGTTGACCATCTACTACAAAGTGGTCGTGATGGGGTTGACCCTACTGAAATCGAAAAATGGCCGAATATCTGCCAATACAGCTGTTGATATTCAATTTCTCCCTATATATTTTAATATGCATAAATACTTTCAAAATAGCATATATATGCATATATATATATAAGCATGCACAAGGTTTTTATAATTTTTCTATATTTTTAAAGATTTTAAATTGATTTATTTCCTTCCCCTTTTTCTCATAAAATCCCCAATAATTATCCCTCAAATTATTGTTGTGGTAATTCAGTCATCTAAATTCTATATATTGTTAAAATATTTTAGTGCATTTATATAATTGCATTTTGCATTTTTAAAGCTAATCTGCATATAATTGCAATATTAACCTTATTAATATACAATTATGTTTTATACGCATAAAATGATCTTCTATATTTTTAAAATATTAAATATCTATTTTTAAATCATTTTAGTACACAAAATTATTTTTAGAAATCATTTATTATTTATTACAAATTATATAGGGTTAAATTGGCTATTTAAAACCTAGCCAGATTGCATTTCAATTTAGCCTCAATTTCAACCCAACCCCAGCCCAATTCCTAATCGAATTACCCGACCCAGGCCCCAAACACATCCTACCCGACCCAAAACCCATCAGATCCCGGCGGCCCGTACTTGTTTCTTGCCTTTTTTAACTTCTAAACCTACCCCCAACCGCTAATCATTTCCTACATCCGCGGCCCTAAGATCCTCTCCTCTCTCAGTACACTCTCAACCTAACCCTAGCCCTTCAACCGCGGACCTCTCCTCTCCGGTCATTGACCTCTCATTGTATCCTAAGCCTCCAATGGCTTCTCTCATG